ATTCACATGTTAGCTAAGACCCGGAAATTGGGGACATTCTGTGCAAATTGGGTTGACCCACGGGTTGGCCCACCCGTCTTCACCAGGGTTACATCACTATAATTCAGTAATTAGGTTACTAAAATATTAAATATTTTATATTCAGATATTTATTGTTAATGAAATAACCAATATTTATTATTAGGTACCGATTACTAATAAATCTTAAAAAAAATATATATAAATAAAAAAAAAAAATTCATTCGTAACCAGTACGTTTTAACATATATATATATATATACATACATTTCGACGATGATTCCGCGATCGTCCTTTATTGAACAATGCGGTCACAGTCTAAAAATAATTAAAGTAATAATACTTTGATACATCATATTTTGTATCTTTGATACATGACTTAAAGTATCTAATTTGAATTTACTGTACAACTGGGGCGCAAATTAATTTAAATATACCCCCGTTAATAATGAGGATTAATCATCATCATCTATATGAAATTATATCCTCAGCTTTGCTCTTTACAAAACGAGTTATTATAATATTGTTAATAACATTGTCCTGTTTTAAAAAGTGGTTGAAGTTATGATTGCCAGCTATTTTTCTAATAGAGTTAGTAAAAAAATTTTTTTTTTTTCGTTCTTTATCAACCCTCTTCAGAATCAGAAATATCATTTAATTGTGTTAATGCTAAACTTTCTTCATCAAAAGCGTTCAATAATGTAGCATCTCTAGTTGTCATAAGATCATGTACATCTGATGATAATGATGATCGTAATACCCCGTTACCATTTTGTAATGTTCTAGTTAAAAGTCCATCGGTTTTTGCCGAATTTAAAAGAAATACACCAGCAAAAATAGTAAAGAACCCACAAAATAAACTGATTACATTAACCACATGACTAGTATTGAATCCTTGAAACAATAAAACAGAAGCAAATATAGTCGATGTCGTGAAAAATACATAATATACAGGGTTCACACTGAAAAATAAAATAAAATAAAATAATTTTTAGTATATTTATATAAGTTCTCAATTGAGTAAAAAGAATACTTACATATTAGTTTCAAATTGATCCAGAGCTTTGTTGAAATAGTTCATTTGTATCAATATACACAAGGTAGAAATAATTATGAACACATAAGTTGATGGATGGGTAAACTGATTATTGCCCGCGAACGTTAATTTGAGAGCAATACCAAATCCTTTACATGACATCACAGATATCGACCCAACCAATGAACAAATTGACAGATATACCAAAGGATTTTTTTTTCCGTATTTTGGTACAACATAATGTATAGCAAAAGATGTATATAAAGCGACCAGCAAACAGTAAAATAAAAATCCTACAAATGGAGTAAAAATGATAGAAATAAATATCACAATGAGCAAAATGATAGAAATAAATATCACAATTAACAAAATGATAACATTTAATAACATTAAAGGAGTAACACTTGCCAGGTTGGAGAGCAAAAGCAAGAATTTCGTCAACAGTCAAAATATCCCTATCCGCTGGTGAATGTATTACAATAACTATCGAACCAATTAAACATAAGCCACAACCCACAGTCCCTATTGTCCCAAGATTTTCTTTTAGAAATAGAGAAGCCAAAACAGCACTAATCATTACATAATTTTCATATAGTTGTATAAAAGGATCTAAAATAAGACTACTAATGCAGTTCTCGGAAATTACGTGTGTAAACCTAAAGAAAAATTATCACATACCCGATTAAAACGCTCAAAGCACCAAGAGGAGTTACAAGGATAGCGGGAGCAAATGAATAAGCAGCAAAATTAAGTAATTCGCCAATTACCACTAAAAATTATTGAACCGAAGGGAAACATAAGTAAACATAAAACTTTATAAAAGGATTTTCGAGAAAAAAAGTATATTAGCATACTTGTACTCATTCCTGCCCACCAGATCGGATTCGTTAGGTAACTATGATCTTCACTAGAAGGTCCTGTTATAAAGAAATAAGTGAGTTAAAAGTACAAAACTAGTAAATATGAAAGTAACCAACAAATCTACCGTGTCTACGTGACGCCACGATTAGACCTTTTTTCGTTATGATAAAAGACGTGCCGATCAACAGACTAGAAGAGACAGCCAACCCCAACCCGACATATTTATCGTGATCACCAACCATTCTTTATAGGCTTTAGATATTTTTCCACGACAGTTGACTGTTGACGAAAAAAAAAAAAAAATTCTAGAGCAAAAACTTAATTATTTAACTATACCGATACTTACAAGATTTTTAACCTGTTCCATGTTGTACAATTTTGATAAAACTGATACGTTACAAAGTTAAATTAACCGAATTTGGAAATTCTAATCAAAGATCTATTTTTAACTTCGGCGCATCAGAACATATAATTTCGTTTTCCCATTTAATTTCGTAGTATTTGTTGATTAAAGAATTTTCATTACCGTGAAAAGTATTTTACAGATCATCATAACAAAAAAAATAATAATTAAAGAAAAGAACAACACTCAGGCTTGGTAAGTTGATAGGCTCTATTATTATGTATCTTTCCGTTTTTCGAATGAATCATGTTTTAACATGTTGAATTCCTGAATTTTTAACGTTAGAAATAATAATAGGAAATAAAAGAATTATTGAGATATATTTTTTTTAATCTCATCTTTTAAAAGTAAAGATAACGAATTTTCCTTTATTTGCAGTCTAGAAGACTAGCACGTGTGATAAAATAAATTT